GTTGTAATGTGACAAAATATGGAAAAGTTCAAGGGGTATGAATACTTTTGCAAACCACTGTATATAGATAAACTGAACTTGAACTTAACTTAGTGGTCACCACTGTTGCTTCACAACAAGAAGGTCCTAGGTTGTATTTTCCAAGAACCCCAGTTTCCTTCCACATTCTAAAAACAAGTATGTCAGGCTGCCTTCGGACTCAGACATCATATGTAAAAAAGATCTTTGATCTGAGTTAGATTTGCCTGGGTAAATAAAGGGTAACAATAACAATAAAATGTAAGTTTCAACTCCTTTAGGTCTTTTTGTTTTAAAAATATTAGATTAATAAATAATTTTGTTTTAACAAAATATTTATTTCATGGCAATTTTTGAAAAAGTGTGTTTTTCTCTAGCCTGGCCCTTGCCTTCCTACACAGTTCCGCTCAGTTCTAGTTTCCCTTCACTTCTCTGTCTGGGATTTCTCCCATAGACAAGGATTTCTTCAGCAGAATTTCATTTGGGCCAATCACAGAACAGAAGGCAGGGTTTTGAATGACAACGTCGCTTTTCTGCGCAGTGTCTGCTTGAAGATTATTTTACCTGGGCCAATCAGCAATCAGAAAGCAGAGTTTTGAACGTTGATTTCTATGCAGTGTCTGCTAGTTAGTTAGCAATGGCAGTGGAGGAAGTGAATGAAGCCAGTCTGTGTTGATATGACTTCCAAATTAAATTAAATTTGTCTGACAAAGCAGCAGCTCTCATTTACGGTCGTCTCGTTTGGCTATGTGTACTTCTCTCCTTTCAGTAGGGTTGTTTACAGCACACACAATTTCCAGTTAGCTTCTTAGCTTAGCCTCCTTCACAGTGGAGCTGGCGTACAGATACATTGCAGCCAACTGATCCAATCATTTTGAACYTCACCAGAGGCCACGCCTCCAGATAGAATCGCTTCTCCATAGCCGAGAGTCCAGCCCCTCATACAAAGCAAAGCGAAGGACAAGGTGCTGSTTGTAACCAGGCTAGTTCTCCTCRTYAGTAAGCCCCAAATATACATRYATATTATTTCATAATTCCAGTTCAGAGTTTTGAGAAGACCATCCAGCCCACTGGTTTTTGTTCAAACTTGCACAAGTCCGTCGATGGCCAGACATGGAAATGTAAGAAAAGCGTGTTCGGTAAATTGGAAGTTAAAACAGCAGAAAACCAGTTGATTCTCTTCTAAAAAGCTGACTCCATAAAGGCCCACAGCCACACAGCAACAGGTCTGTGAATGAAAGGCCTTGTTTTTTTATTTTTTTATTAGAACAGCAAATGAATAAAACCCTCTCTAGCATCCAAAGAGAACTAAAACATGGTGATTATTCACCCTCTTAAAGTAACGTGTACATCTGATTTCCTGGTCACATCTTTGGAGGTGGTACGTTTTACGTCACACCTTAGAACCAACTTTGTTTATCCAGACAGAAGGACCTCATATTGATAAGACACAATGACTATCTCCCTCAGTTTAAAGTATGTGACTGCACAAAGTGTAAAATACAAGACTGGATCTTAAATTCAGTTAACCATCACAAAATTTCCTTCCGAAGTTTTTTTTTTTTTTTTACTCTACTTGAGGTCACGGCTAGTTTTTTTTAATGGTTATATAATTTTACTGTTCCATTTGCCCACCGAGCTGTGGCAGTCAGGTTTGTCGATGATGCAATAATTTTGGTCAAGCCAGCAGGAGTCAGCTGTTCTCATCTGTGGAGCTTTTGATTGATCAACCTGCATACATGCAGAAATATATTTTTATTAAATGTTTACTCATGCAAGTGTACTTTTGCTCTTTACACCCCAACTAAACAATTTTGTTGTTTGAGATGAGACTGAACTTCACAGTAACAGTCAGCCATGAAGGGTAGATCTCTTACAAGTTAGTTGCAGTCATCTGTTGCCTGACCATAACAACCTGAGGTTCTTCTTCCATGAAGCAGCTCTGTTGTCCTCCATCCATATTTTCAGTTMCAGRCTGAGTCATTTCTACCTTCTCCTCTCTGTCAACGCTCTCTGGTTTCATTTAAAAGAGTCGATCATCAGATATTGTCCAAGATTAACCTTCAGGGTGGATATAGCTCGCTAGCAGCCTCGCACCGATGACCTAGTTGATTTCATCAATTTCCCAGAATGCTTTGCATGTAAATAAAATGGCCCCGTCCGTGTAATATATTTTTAAACTTTTAGTTTAAAAATTATAAAAACTAAACATCCTACAGTATTTTTACAGTCTTTATTTTACAGTTAAAGTATATGTTTATCATATAAAGTCTAATGTTACRACTAATCGGGGATCCCTTTAAGGTTAGCAGAACTAWCTTTAGTGCTTTAAAAAGACTTGTGTAACAATTTTCAATCCAGCCTGACAAACCGTATGAATAATAAATGTGTTTTGTTCAGTATGTATGATATCATGAGTTCAACTAAATTCCCTTTAGCAAGTAAAGCATTAACAATTCAAGGACAAACACTGAAGGACTAAWATGCAATACATTCTAACAGTGTTGCTTGAACAGAAAGCAAAACCCATGAGGTCAGACATGCAGGGCATGATTAATGGCCAAAACAAATAAAATACAAACGAAAGTCTAACAATCAGAGGCAGAGTTGCTCACCCAGGGAGATCTCACGAGCAAAACCCATGCACACCAGCAAGAGTGGGAGGCCAACAGAGACATACTTGATGACCTTGTCTAAAGGAAGCTCCAGTTCCAGGTGGTTGATCCTATTAATGCCAGAGCTGTCCTGCAGCAGGGCATCAGATAGCATGGCCTTGGCTGCTGCTTGGGCTATAGACATTATGGATGYCTACAGGAACAACAAAAAAAGGGGTATTTTAAGGAAAACATGGAGCTGGAGGAAATTCACTTTGTTTTCTGTATAGAAATTACATTAGTGTGAATGTTGAAAGGTGAATGATTTTAACAAAATTAGCTAAATAAGCTAAAACTGAGAATGTTAACAATAACCTTAAAACAAGCAGAACAGTAGCTGAAATAAACATGAAAAATCTTTAAAGTATCATAACAAGACAAAAATAGAGCAAAGCAGATTTTAAAGAGAACTATTTTTTAAATAAATATGAGAAATCTCGTATCCAAAGTCTGTTGAAATTCTATTTTACCGGTWATTAAAACTAAACACTTTGATAAGTGTAAAAGTTGCAAAACCAAAAGGTCATAGTGAGCTACTGACAACTATGCTGAACATTTTGATATATGAATAATTGAAATAGAACAAAAAATGCTGAAGTTCGACTGTAAAGTGTACAGAAGCAGAAATATTAAACAGCCAACAGCCCAGACAAATAATGAAGACGATAAACTTTTTACCTTAGGTGCTCTTGTTTTCTTCGTTTATGATCGCTGTTGCACTAAAGATGTACCTCTGGAGACCTGCTAAAAGTTGGAAAGCTCCTTAAGTACTCATGGAGTTTGCTGGTAAATAAGAGGTTGGATCTGGGCTGGACGAGGCTGAGCCGGGTCTGGCTCTAATTACAAAGAAGACATCTGGGAGCATTTAGGCGTCCAGATGGTACGTACAGCAGCAGACCTCCAGTACTCTACAGTAGACCTTAAAACAGTGTGTGTGTGTGTGTGTGTGTGTGTGTGTGTGTGTGTGTGTGTGTGTGTGTGTGTG